ATGGTATTGATATACTTGTCAAAGAAGTTCTAGAAACTTCAAATGTCGAAAGAGCATATGATAAGTGTCTCCTTTCCTATCGCTACGTCAGTTACAGGTTAAGGGGTGTCTTGAATGGATGAAGGTAATGTTTGTGCGAAATATAGTAGTTCTATTTTGAACTGAGAAATGATTCTCTTTTTGTCAATTAAGGAGGAAACTGTGTAGTATTTAAAACAGAATGTCAGTGAAAGACATTGCGTTTGCATAGTGAATTATGAAGGTACTGAAAGGTAGTAAAGAAGGTGAATGAAAGAATTAATTTGAACAGATAAGGTAAGGCTATCATTTAAAAGAAAAAAACTGTTCAAAAGATGTATGTTAGAATTAAAAGTAAGATGTTAAAATTTAAAAAGATGTAACAGAGAGTAAAACCAAAGAATACTGGTAATTCCCATCTGGAAAACAGTAATTTGAATACGATATTGAAAAAAGTTGGTTTTAAGAATTTCTTTATGCATGTGATGCAAAACAATTGCTACTTTATCATGAGTGCTGACATAGATGCAATTTAGTGTATGAAAAATAGTAAAATTAATATAGTCAGTGTCTCTAAAACATGAAAAAATAATAGTGTGAGCAGTGTAAATTCATTTGAAGTACTGAAAATATGACATAGACTAAATACCAGAAGATGTAAGAAATATTTTGGTATGTGTGGATGAAACACTGAACGTGGTTGTAAAATTAGAAATGAAAATTATCAACACACATAAAGGTAATAGGGATTTAAAACTAAACATGATGTTAGAAACTTTGAAGATCGTAAAACTATATCAGAAAGAAATGCATTTAGATATAAATGGTATTAAACTGTAAAGTTGTGAATGGAAATTTCTGAGTAAAACCTGTAGATGATCTATTATGATCGGAGAATAAAACAAGTATTTTAAAAATTGTAAGGAAATATTTGAATATGGAGTAAATGAAAACAATCCATATCGTTAAAATGAATAAAAAGGGATAAAATGTTGGAATTACGAATGATGAGACAGAAATAAAAACATTATAATAAATAAGTTAAACTAGAATTAAGAAATATAAACACAGAAGGGAAATCATGAACGTAAGAAACGCAATTAAACAGTTATAGACTTAAGTTTTTAAAAAAATATTCGGTAATGTAAGGAAGATATTGTTTAAACATGTAAAAGAAATTAGAAATTCTGTAGAAAATTTAGTAAAAGAACTAAGATCACGAAAAAATAAACGTTTCTTTTTAAATAGAATTTCAAACCACTAAGTTAAAGTGTGTGTATAGAATACTAGAATGGTTTAAAAAAAAAAGTAAATGAAGTTAAAATTCAGAATATATTGAACATTATAACGTTAAAAAAAGTGTGAAATTGCATCTAAAATTAAGTAGTGTAACAAATAAACAGCATGTGCGGGAACGTTTGTGAAATATAATATATAAGTTAAAAATCAGGGTATGCTGAAATGGTATGAAAGGTATGAAAAAAAAAATAGTATGTGGAAATTAAATAAAATATTACAAATTAGAAACGTTAAGTATTAAAAAAATATGACAGTAAATAAATATGTTATTATGAACAGAAAACCTGAGAAATAAGTTAAAGTTTCATGGAAAACTAGAAAGAATAAAAGTATCAGAATAAATTGATGAGTCGATTCAAATTCCATTTTCTTATATAGGCTTTTTTACCTAAATCTGAATGTATCCCGTCAGCTTAGTGGTTAAAATCTTCAAACTACTCAGCTGGTGAGATATTTTGTTTCAGAGTTCAATTCTATATTTTGAATAATAGAGTATTTTTTTTTTTAAAATAGAAATTTCTAAAATAAATTATTTTCTTTTTTCGTCCATAGAGGACGCCATGAGCAATTCCTAAATAGATTATTTTCATTTTTCATCCCTAGCGGACGCCATGACCCCGTTGCCAATTTAAAAAAAAAACTAACTTTAAATGAAAAGCAGGAGGTCTACAACTCAATCAGCAGTCTACGAACACCTCAACTCCACTCGAAACCACGCCTACTAGTGTGATGACGTTGCATTTGGCCCCGCCCTCTGTGTGACGTCATTGGCCATGCCCACACCGCACACCGCGTGTGGGTGAACCCGTGTTTTCTATCTACTGGCGGCACATTGCGGCCTACTATCCATTGTCCCAACATGTCCTACATATATGCTGTATGGGATTCAGGTCCGGCGATCTCGCAGGCCACTGCAGATGAATAATTTCAGTCAACAAAAGGATGCACAAGATGGTGTAGAATTTCATTGGAATATCGGATGGCTGTGACGGATCACCTAGAGGCTGGTGCGGTCGTTCGTTGCTATCCCAGCCCATATAAGTAAGCCTCCTCCGGTGTAATGATTTGTTCTGACGATGTTTTTCGGGCGATGGTGTGTCCCTGGCTCTTGCCATATCCTTATCCTTTGGGAATCGTTCTGGATGTTGAATTAAGACTTATTCGTAAAGAGTAAGTGTAGAGAAATAGAGCTGATTAATTTACACTGTGATATAAATCTCATTCAAAGATTTTAAGGCACAAATTTAATTAACTTTTATCAGTACTTCTCAAAAGATAAGTATCTTAAGTTACGAATTTTTACAATAAGTACATTCGCTTTGTTTTTAACTACATTTACATGTAAACAGTTTTTTTTTTTTTTCGTAGCTGAAAATTAATAACTCTACGAAGAGAACCAGACTGCCGATGTGTATCGACAATTTATGATGATACTGTAAAGTCTGTGTCTCTTTGGGAACATAAACTTTTAAAAGGACTGTTGAAGAACTACCTTCTAGCTTTGTGAAGCAAAACAGAAGGAGGGTGTATAAGACCCTTTCTATTCAAACATAAAATTAACAATGACCCAACTTGGGTTACACAAAGCCACGCACTTCTGGCTTAACAGATTAACGTAGCAAATACTGATTTCAAGGTGGGGTAGATTAGCCTAACGGCTCAAAGAGTACTTTCACTCTCAGAAAGGTAGCTCGTACACACGTTACACGTGGGAAAAACCACGAAAACGCCCATGCAGCCAGCCCGTTTGCGGGATTCGAACCTCGGACCGAACTACCAGTGTTCAGCGACTTTACCGCTCGGCCGCTGGTGGGCTCGCTCTCAGAAAGAGCTCTGGTTTGTAGTAAACCGGCAAGACAAGCCCTAATGGCTGGAACACTGAACGCCGCTAACGCAAGTCGCTAATAATCACAGCACAACGTGGCCTGGAATAGGAAGACACGCTCTAAAACTAACTCCCGAAACTTTTGCTTAAATAGCATTTCATTCTACTTTAATTTGGAAAAAAGTAAAAAGCAAAGATATTTACAGTAATTCACATACACTTATTATTTTTCTGTTTCGCGTCGTAGAAAAATCTAATAAATACAAGAAAGAGAATAGGTTGTCATTATTTATTAAGTTTTGCCCCTCCTGAGAAGCTTTCGAGTATTTTTTTTTTTTAGTTTAAATTAAAAAGCAAGTTATTTAGTAGTTCAGTATATTATAATTAGTTGACTAAATGTCAGTCTGAAAATTTTAATATTTAGTTCTCAAATTTTAATACTTAGCTGTCTGTTTGAATTCTAAATTGTGATCAAAAAAAATTTCTTCTAGACACCAACTTTCAGATTTCAGGCAAAATATGAATATAAATTTGATATTTTTCTTTGCGTTATTTTTATTCGTATGTTTTCACCAAATATCTAGTAAAAGGTTCCCCTCCCAGTTCCACTCCAGTTTTTAAGGACAGTAGCCTGGGGCACGGGTCCGAGGGTCTTCCACTCTTCTCCCTCTACGACTAAACCACTCGGAAGGCTTTTCTCTTCTCTGTATATTTGGAGTGCTCCCATACGACAAATACACTATACGTTTACAAACGCCTATGCCTTCTCTGGGTTTTGAAACTGAACCCCCTGGTACGGCATTCAGATTCACTAACCATTACTCTATCTGGGTGGCACAATTTTACATATTTGGCTACTTATTCAAAAGCTACCTGAAAATTTTTAAATGAATGTTTTTTACTGCCTGTTAAACTGAAGCACTTCTAACACTCCCACTTCTCTTTTTCTCTGAGAGCTACAAAATTATTTCATATTGCTTTTTTGGAGGCTGTGAGTCTTTCCTAGGCCCTCCCAACGGCCGATAGTATAAGACAGCTTAACACTAGTGCTTCAATCCACGTTCAAATCACAGTGAACCGGCTGGCTGCATAAGCGCTTTTTTTTTTTTTTTTTTCGTGTATAATGTGCATACAAGCCAGTTTTCTTCAGAAAGCCCACTACGAATCGTTCTTTCTCTTAGACAGTTTCTAGAGGGCTTTGCCATAATCTGGTTCTGGTTATTTGAGCATAGCAAAGCATACGAGGGCTATCTGCCTAAGCAGAGGGTAATCTAATGAATCTAATTCTGTTTATGTAAACTTTGAAATAAAGATTTTGGGAAAATATGTGCAGTTGTGTTTAAATTCTACTCATAACAGAATTAGTTGATTGTGTATAACGTTTCCAACATTATTGCAGATGTAATTATAGCTCTTTTATTTATAATACGTTTTTACGCGAGCAATGCAGCATGATGATTAAGTATTTATTTAGATATGTTTTATTTTATTTCTTTTAACTTTTTTATATGATGATAAGCTTACTTTGCGTGATATACATGAATTATTTAAAAAGTAATTAAATATATTTTGAAGGATAAAAATTAAATTTATTCGCCTTTAAATCTGCTTTTAAATCTTTAGAAATAAAGACGGGAATTTTTAGTGCAGGCGAAACATTAGCGCTTGTTTGTTTCTACATGAGTTACAGAAAATAAACGAGAATTAAATTACAATAAACAAGTGAATCAAATAACTGTTCCAATTTTAAAATTTGATGCTTGTGAAAACAGGCGGGAATTGTCCTTGAATGTAGCCCAGAGCTATGGAGTGTGGTTATTTGCCGTCTGCCGAAGGTCAGCTCATGCTAGACCAACGGCCTTCATAGAAGCAAGGTATAAAAGTGAAATGTCAAAATAGAATCTGCGCTAGAACCTTATAACTCTGTAACGAAAAGACGTTCAGCCTTCAGCCATTATGTTCTCTGGAGTAAGTTTTTGATTTATCATTTTGACTTTTAAATGTATTCTTATAATAATTATCAGTTTTCATACATATGATGTATTTACATAAACAATTTTATTTTCCCAATTAATTCAGAAAGATGTGATACAATTAGAGCATTAAAATTATTAATATAAAAATAAATTATCTTGTTTATTTCTAAAATTTCCTGAAAAAACTGATCTCCATATTAACACTTTAATTATGTATGTTCTAATGATATTCCAATTTTTTATTCATTGTCAAATTAATCTCTAAGCCATGTGAAATATCAGTAAATAAATTAATACAATCATATCAATTTAATTTTTATTGTCAAAATTTTAGAAAAAGGAAAAATGATCAGAATATCAATTTAAGTTTTAATTCTGAGGGAAGAAAAAATAATAATGAGAGAATTTCATGAAACCAGCTAATTACTGTTTTTTACGATATCTTCTCATATTTTAGGAGGCCTCACGATTAAAAACATTTATTCAATTATGGAAATTCATACTGAAATTGCAATATTGATGTTAGAAGTGAAACTCCTACAAATGCAATTTTGTCAATTTAGAATTAAAGTGATTGAAATCATCCCACAATTTTTTAACTTAAACAACGATTCTGAATTTATGACAGCAATTAACACCAGCATGTATTAAACAGAAACAGCAATGCTCAGAAAAATTTCTGTAATTATATTATAATTTAAAAAATTTGTCTGTGGATATATGATAAATTAATCTAAATTAAACCATATATGAATCAGAAGATTTGATTTATATCTTTATTCAAAGTGACATTAAATAGGGCTAAGTAGGTTAAGCCTTAAAATGTATAGTAGATATCTCAGTTGTTGAAATAATTTGTCAATTTAATTGTATTGTGGTAGAAAAGGATCATAATTCATACTTAATTAAAAATTCTTCAACCTAATTATTTAGATTCCATTAAACGTAATTTTACAAATCGCACCCAATTCCGTAATACCAATTAATTACATATATATATATATATATATACATTAACACATATATTATATATTATGTAATTATTACTGTTATTCTTAATTTTTCCCGCTATTAAAGACTTTTCTAATATGTTTTGTGTCTTTAGAGTATAGCTTTCTTTTCCCCGTGCAAAAAATGGATAAAATACTTGTATAGCTATATTGTTTAATATATAAGCCGAGCTCAAATATTCAGACCAACTCTGCTTGGTTTATTTGATTATGGCAAAGCATGCGAGGACTCTCTGTTTAAAGGGATGCCTTCGTGGAGGACTTTCTAAGGAAAGCTGTCTTGCATTTACGGTACATGTGCGAAAAACACCTATCAAACTAACTTGGACCACAACAATATCCGAAACTCACATCTACAGACACCTGGGGTCAAAATGGAAAAACCTAACTACCTAACAATTTACTGAGCACATTAGCACCTCTCTGTAGCTTCTTCACAATTACTGTAGGTTACTTTTACACGCAAGGCAGCAGAAACATAGTTCAAGCTCCATTAGGCTCACAGTTAAGATTTACTTTTAAATTAAGCCGTTCGTCATACAAACTGTGTAAACGTCTGGTCTAAGCCACAACCTGAGTAAGTATTGCGACAATCCGAGGAGAACAGGGCTTAACTGAACTCAAAACTGTTAGTAAGAAAGCGCAATTGTGAGACATTTCAACATAATTTGAATATAAATAGAATATTGTGTAAAAATGTGTTTACAGTGTTAATAGAACACAAAAGTTCCGCCAAATAAAAGCAGAAAACACTTTTTCAAAAAAAAATTTTAATATTTGTATTAGTACTTTTCAAAATATGAGTAGATATTTTGGTTTTAATTCCAGATTTAATTTTGCTGCATTCTACTTGCACCATTAATTTCAATTGTTGCATTAAAGAAATATTTTGTTCTAGAATTTTATATTCTCTTTCTCGTCAAATATGCTCAAAATCATTTAAATCTGGAAGGTGTTTTGAATATTTTAGGGCAATGTTGTACATTCATATAGCAATGTGTTTAAAATTGTTCACTACGTATAACCTGAAATTATTCTACTGGTAAGCGCTGAAAATTTTAAAACATTAACGTGTTTGTACTGACCCGTTATATCTCTAATAAATGTAAGGTTATGATTTGAACAAAGACATGCTTCTTCACATCGTAACTCTTCCTCCACAATGCTCTATTCTAAAATCTATGTCCTATTTTTTTAATTCTTCTTTTCATGCGTAAATTAGCAATACTAACGAAAAGGTGTTAAATTAAATATCATAACCAAAAATTACTTTATTTAATTATACGAATCTTTTATTTCTCAGTGATAAATAAAAGAGGAAATTTTTATTCTTTCTTTAAAGTGAAATTATTTTCTTGCTACTCTCCTATTACATTCAGAAGATCGAGTTATCATTTCAACAAGCTATGAAATAACAAATACTTCATATTATTTAAATGTTCTGAGGTAAATTAGGGAGCAATCAGTCTTCAATTATTTTACATCTCTCATAATAGTACGTTCCATTCCATAGGACAGTTTTGATAGTCCTTCAGTTCTTCTTCCATTTTGAACTCTGTGATATAACATTTAAATATTTTTTTCAAATCCAAAACTGTTAAATGCTTTAAATGAATTATTTCAGTAATTTTTCTAATATGCTTCCCTTTTCTTAGTCGCAGTTTAAGAATTAACTTTCGAGCTCCTAATCCCTTAATCTTACATAAAAAATGGAAACATAATGCAAATTCTAAAACATTTTATTGAAAAATTCAAGGAAGCAATCTTTTTTTTAGATATTAATTTTTCTTTTGATGCAAAATAATACCATAAGCAAACAAATTATATTTATTGCAGGTTAGTTTTGTGTGATGTCCTAATACTATTCGAAGAAATTTTGTGCTAGATTTTCCTGATTAAAAAAAAAGATATTCATTTTAATGCTCAATATTTTATTTTAAAGAATTATTTAAAAGATGATTAGATAACCGCTTATGTTCAAGAAAAACCACGTTTTATTGTATCAGTTAAATGCATTTGAACATTTTGGCTTTCCTCTCTGACATTAGAAGTATTCAATCGCTCTTGTGGTACGTGGATACAGATCAATGAATATACATGAGTGATACAGATTAGTTCATCGCAGTACATTCATGTTCGGCAGATATGTAGACCCGAGGTGGCCAGCTGCAGACCGCCTGCAGTTGCTGTGTTTTTTCTGCACGATCACCCGCAATATATCTTCTCCTTGAAGGAAATGAAAGTTTAAAATTTAAAAAGGGCCCAAAATTTTTTTCACATAATTAATATTATTGCATTTTTAACGGCAAAATTTTTGCCAGAATAAAATGCGAGAAACTAAAAAATACAAATTTTCCACCTGCTGAACTGCAAATACGTATTTGGCTAACAGAGAAAATGCAGCCACTTTTCAAAAAATTTTTAATATCCAACCGAGTTGTTGTCGCAGTTTGTAAATATAGTTGGAGTTCTACCATAATACTTACCATGGTGACTATAAACATTTTATAATTTTTTCACACTACATGATTTAAATGTTTAAATCTCACTAAGAATTTAACCTCAAATCTTTCTTTAGCTGTTTCAAATCATTTTAGCTTGCTCATTCTCAATTTGAGCAACATTCATGTTACTTCATGGAAAGGAAGTCATTAGGGAACAATTTATATTTCAATGTCTAGAAGGTCCAGTGGAGAGATACCCGCTAGCACTTGCAGTGCCACAGTTGGGGATGTTCTGTAACCTTTGCATATGATCAAAAGTTGCATTCTTTGGATGGTGAGAAGCTGCCTCCTCATATAGGTGGTAAGCTTCCTTCCCCATATAATAAGATCTTTCTGAGATCATATTATATGGGGTACCAGCTTTGAGCATAGTGATTGGAGTGCCCCAATGAGGTCCTGTTGTTCTAACCACGGAATTACTAAGCTGATTTATTTTTTGCTTAAGCTCTTTAATATGAGGCACCCAAGAAAGCCTATTGTTAATTATAATACCTAGATATTTAAGGTCAGTGACCTCTTTTATAGAGACTCCATATAGCTTCATGTTGGGATTCCTATTTCGCGCTCCATGCCTGCATATAAACAGTTTAGTTTTATATGCTGAGATGTTTAATTTGTGCTGATTTGGCCAGCTTGCAAAAGTATTGATTTCATTTTGTGCCTTTAACCTAATGTCCGTGCTACCAGAAATGACCAATAAAAAGTCGTCCGCGTACGCCTGGATACCCACTCCTTGCTGTTGGTCATAGAGCGCAAAGGCTGTGTTCCCTACAAGATTTCAAAGTGTAGGTCCCAAGCAGGAGCCCTGGGGACAGTCTCTTTCCAACTTGACTTTGAGTAAATCATTGTCCGTTGTAACCTTTCTCCAACGATCCTGCAAGTAACTGCGTATAAGATTCAGGATTTCCTTTGGGCACTTGATGACGTCTAGACATTCGACTACGTCTAACCACCATAACAAGTCAAATGCTCCTTTGATGTCCAACGATATATCCAGCGTGTCCAAACTGTTGTCTCTGTTCTGCTCTATGTTATCTAATAGTTGTTTTAAGGCATTGTCTGTGGACTTTCCTGCGCAGATGCCATACGTTTTTCGTTTATAAACTTGTTCTTGTACATGTGGAAATTAAGGCGTTGTAGAAGTACTTTTTCTTAAATCTTACTGATTGAAGGCAGTAAGCTTATAGGCCTATATGATGCCGGATCTGACATTAAAATTGCAACGCCGTGAAGGAAAGCAAATACAAAAAAGATATTTATTATACGCAAACAGTATGGCGTCAGGACAAAATGATTAAATTCGTAGGCAGTTTTGGGGTTTATAGGGGTGGGAAATCAGAAGAAACAGCTACCACACCTGGTAGCTAAAACAGGCCTTACCCGGTTAGGCTTCGATGACAGAAACGAGCAACACATTCCATGCTGCTTCAAGTCTAAGCCACACTCTATCAACCGTATTAGCTGAAGAGGGATGGCGG